CGGGAAATTTTTAAGATTTGAACCGGGAAAACCGGGAAAAAACCGGGAATTTCAAAATGAAAAGTCAGTGGCCACCCTGATCCAAAGAAAATGCTGTTTTAAGTACTTATTCACTAGGCACTGAACCGATTCAAATAAGTTTGGCATCACTTTGGCTAGTACTGACTCGCTTCAGACAAGTTCGAAAGTACTTTGGAACAAGGTTGCAAAGACTCATTTCAGCTAAAACAATGTTTTTCTAAATTATGAAATAATTAGATGCCATGATCAAATTTTGAATTGGTAGGATACAAGAAGAGGTTGCCAAGAATGTGTTTGACATATTAAACCTGTTTATTTCACTTCATGAGAGTCACAATCAGTGATTTTTCACAAACTCACTCACTCACTCACTCACTCAGCGATCAGCAAATCGCTGATTGTGACTCATAGAAAGCAAAATTTACAGGTTTTATGTTTCCAACGCATACTTTGTAACCTCTTCTTGTAAGTTACAAGTAAAACATGCCATCATACCATCTTTTGGTTTTATTATTCCGAAAAACATTATTTTAGCTGAAATGAGTCTTTGCAACCTTGCTTTGGAAGGTACTGAATCACTTCTGAAAGTACTGAATCGCTTTATAAAGCTTTGGAATCATTTCGGAAAGTACTGAATCACTTCATAAAAATTAGAATCAATACGGGAAGTACTGCATCTTTTCAGAAAAAAAAACCCTACGGAAAGTAGTGAATTACTTCGGAAGATTCTGAATCACTTCCGGAACGTACTTTACAAGGACTGAATCACTTAAGAAAAGTTCGTTATCACTTCTGATAGTACTGACTTACTTCATACAAGTTTGGAATCAATTCGGAAAAAAAAAACTGAATCACTTTAGAAAAAAAATTAATACCTTCGGAAAGTAGTGAATCACTTCGGAAAATATTGAACCACTTCAGGAAAGTACTTTGAAAAGGACTGAATCGGTTCAGAAAGTATTAAATCACTTAAGAAAAGTTCGTTATCACTTCGGAAAGTACTGAGTCACTTCAGAAAAGTTTGGAATCAATTCGGAAAGTGCTGCATCACTTTAGAAAAAATTGAATCCCTTCGGAAAGTAGTGAATCACTTCGGAAAATACTGAACCACTTCAGGAAAGTACTTTGAAGTTCATTATCATTTCAGAAAGTACTGAGTCACTTCATAAAAAATTCGAATCAATTCGGAAAGTACTGCATCTCTTCAGAGAAAAATTAAATCCCTTCGGAAAGTAGTGATTTACTTCGGAAGATTCTGAATCACTTCCGAAACGTACTTTGAAAAGGACTGAATCGCTTCAGAAAGTACTGAATCCCTTAAGAAAAGTTCGTTATCACTTCAGAAAGTACTGAGTCACTTCATAAAAAATCAGAATCAATTCGGAAAGTACTGCATAACTTTAAAAAAAAATTAATCCCTTCGGAAAGTAGTTAATTTTTTCGGAAAAATTTGAACCACTTCAGGAAAGTACTGAGTCACTTCATAAAATATTAGAATCAATTCGGAAAGAACTGCATCACTTAAGAAAAAAAAACCCCTTCGGAAAGTAGTTAATCACTTCGGAAAATTCAGAACCACTTCAGGAAAGTAATGAGTTACTTTATAAAAGTTTGGAATCAATTCGGAAAGTACTGAATCACTTTAGAAAAAATTGAATCCCTTCGGAAAGTAGTGAATCACTTCGAAAAGTACTTTGAAGAGGACTGAATCGCTTCAGAAAGTATTAAATCACTTAATAAAAGTTCGCAATCATTTCAGAAAGTACTGAGTTACTTCATACAAGTTTGGAATCAACTCGGAAAAAAAAACTGAATCACATTAGAAAAAAAAAAATGAATACCTTCGGAAAGTAGTGAATCACTTCGGAAAATACTGAACCACTTCAGGAAAGTACTTTGAAAAAGACTGAATCGCTTCAGAAAATATTAAATCACTTAGGAAAAGTTCCGGAACGTACTTTGAAAAGGACTGAATCGCTTCAGAAAGTACTGAATCACTTAAGAAATGTTCGTTATCACCGAGGTTATCACTTCAGAAAGTATTGAGTCACTTCAGAAAAGTTTGGAATCCATTCGGAAAGTGCTGCATCACATAAGAAAAAATTGAATCCCTCCGGAAAGTAGTTAATCACTTCGAAAAATTCAGAACCACTTCAGGAAAGTACTGAATTACTTCATAAAAGTTTGAAATCAATTCGGAAAGTACTGAATCACTTTAGAAAAAATTGAATCCCTTCGGAAAGTAGTGAATCACTTCGGAAAATACTGAACCACTTCAGGAAAGTACTTTGAAATGGACTGGATCGCTTCAGAAAGTACAGAGTCATTTGAGAAAAGTTCGTTATCACTTCAGAAAAGTTTGGAATCAATTTGGAAAGTACTGCATCACTTTAGAAATGTTTTCACTCACTTTGGAATTGTTTTGAATCATTTAATTTCTAAAAGTACTGATTATTTGGCATTAGATACGTTTGCGTCCCGTTGACTTAAGTTGAACAGATAAGCCGTGGGTCAACTGTCAAATCCACGCAACGTATCCATTGTGGTTGGCCGTTTACGTCAGAATTTACTGAATTACTAGAAATGTTTGGAAAGTACTGACTGAATCACTTCGGAAAGTACTGAATCAGTTAAGAAAAGTTTGGAACCACTTCATGAAATACTAAATCATTTCAGAAAACTTTGGAATCACTACCGAAAGTCCTAAATAAATTCCGAAAATTTTGGAGTCAGTTCGGAAATTACTGAATCACTTCAAAACATTTCAGAATTACTCCTGAAAAATTCACCTCCGCAAGAAATGAAATAACTGAATCACTTTAGTAAAACATCGGAATCACTAAGGAAAGTGCTGATTCAATTAATAAAAAAAATTAGATTAGTGCCACACGCACTGAGACACGTTGGATAGTACTGAATGATTTTAGAAAAGTTTGGAATAACTTTGGAAAGTACTGAATCGATTAAAAATGAATTTGGAATTACTTCGGAAAGATCTGAATCACTTTAAAAAAGTTTATAATCATTTCGGAAAGTACTTAATCAGTTCAAAAACTGTCGAAATCACTTAGAAAAGTACATCATAATTCCACTAAGTACCAAGTAGAATCACTTCAGAAAATTTCGGAATCACTTCGGAAAGTACTGAATCAGTTCATAAAAGTTCGGAATCACTTCCGCAAGTACTGACTGACACACTTTGGAAAACACTAAATCAGCTAAGAAATGTTCGGAATCACATCTGTAAGTACTGAATCACTTCATAAAAGTTGGGAATCACTTCAGAAGTAATTAAATCCAAACACGTTTCAAACTAATTCAGTACTTTCTGAAGTGATTCCAAACATTTCGGAAGTGATTCTGTTGTTTCCGAATTGATTCTGAATTTTTCTGAAATGAATCAGTAATTTCAGAAAGGATTCCGGACTTTTTCAATCAAGTGATTCAGTACTTTCCGAAGTGATTCCAATCATCACAGTAGTGGTTCAGTTCTTTCCAAAGTGCTTTCGAACATTTCTGAAGTTAATCAATACGTGAAACCGCGTTCCGAAGACGCCAATTCAATCTTCCCCAAGCGTATTCAGCACGTTTTTTCAAATATTTCAGCAATCTTTAGGTGATGCTAAACTTGTTGGGGGGTGATGCAATATTCAAATGTGTGTTGCAATATTTTTCCAAGTGATTCCATATTTATGACGGGTAGTGTAGTCGTGAGTAGGTACTCGCGGAGCACGATCTAAAAACCTAGGCTCTAGGCGTACAGCGAGTAATGGGGTGGGACGGAAGTAGAAAATCCAAGAACATTCCAAGTCAAATTGTTAGGGAGTTAGTTCAACAATGACAGAAGACTTGTCATAGAATTCTCAGATCTGTGATTTTAAAATTCTCAGAAGATTTTTCCCAAAGGAATTTTCTTATAATTTCCGATGATATTAAAAAATCAGGACTCCTACAGGAACTATCGTAAAATTTCCGGAGGAAACGTCTCCAAATTTCCAGATTAATATTCTCAAAATTCTCGAAGAAATTCTCTCTGAGCGAAAGTTTCTAAATCAATTCTATTCCGATTCGCAAATGAAGAACAAGAATCTCCGTGTGGTTCTATTCTTTCAGATCTCTGGGAAAGTACTCTAAGAATTTCTGAATGTATTCTTCAAACAAAAATATGTTTTTGGTGTACAACTTTTGGCGGAATGTTCTCTGAACTTTCAGAGGTATTCTCACAAAATTCTCAATAGCTTCCTTTTTGAAATTTTGGAGAAATTCTTGCATATTTCCATACACATTTTACCGGATTTCATGAATAAAAGAAAACAACGATTTTCATCAAACATTATAGAAACAATAATAAAAACAAATCATGATCTACGGTACAATAGTATTCTGTTTTTGGAAAAATACAAATTGAGCTGCAAAATTTAACTGAGATATTTTTGTCAAATACGTCATTTTGAATAAAATTACAAGATCCAAAATTTGGCCTGGAACTACTCATCTGTGAAGTGAATTGAAGGGGTTAGAAGGAAAGGGCGGTAAGTGACTTCGATCGATTCTCTTCATCGACTTCCTCAGAATTCTGGATGCTAGATGCGAACCTCCTTTAGCGCAAAATCTGTTTATAAAGCTGTGGCTATCAAAAGAGAAAGTCGATGAAAATAATCGATCAGTCACTTACACCCCTTTTCTTCTAACCCCCTCAATTGTAATATTTATGTACAAAGAAAAAAATTCCGTTTCTGTATCTCAAATGCAAACGCATAGTCAACTTCATCAACCCCGTTCTCCCGTACGTCAATTGATATCTCTTTTGCAAGGAATCCTATAAGAATACAGTCTAAAGTATGTGTCGATAAAGAAGAGTATTGCTCTTTTTTTGCTCTTGGAGGAGGGTAAAATGTTCTTTTACTGACATCTCACAATTAATTATGCATCAACGTTTTTAAACATTACTAAACAAATCTTCCCACTACTTCTTCCAGGAAAACCTCGAGAACGCCAAGTACGCCGTTTCGATGGCCCGCAAGATCGGCGCCCGGGTGTACGCCCTGCCGGAGGACATTGCCGAGGTGAAACCGAAGATGATCATGACCGTGTTCGCTTGCCTGATGGCCATGGACTACGTGCCCAACATGGACAGCGCGAAGAATAATGGAACCACCACCGCCGCCCCTGTCGTCGTTGCTTCGGTGCAAGCTCCGGTGTTCAAGGTGAGCCCTTCCAAGGTGGAAGTGGTGGAACCAGCTCCGCTTGCAGCGCCAACTGCACCAGAAGCCGACGACGTAGCAAAAACGGCGGTGGTTACCAATGGTGGTAGCAACAGCAACGGGGCAGTTACCACCAACGGAAACGGTGCAATCGAAACGGAAGCGTCGACGGTCGAAGTCGTGGTGGACGAGTTTGTCGATTGAAATGGCAAGTAAAAGGTGAAAAGAGGTTAATTTTTTTTTGTTGCGGAAATGCAAAAATGCGAAAGCGCATATTAGTCACAATACATGTGTAGTTGAGGGGTGTACCGACACGGGCGAGGGGAACTAGCTAGGACCATAAGCTATGTTTTTTTTAGTTTTTAAATGGAATTTATTTTCGCTATCAACTTTTTGGTTTTCCAACATGAGGATGCAGTTTCGACATGGGTGACACCTTGTTAATAGTTTTCTTGTGAAGAAAACTGGCCAAACAAGCGTGTATTCATTAGGATTTTCTTTGTGTAGAGTCAGCTACACAATCTGTGTTATCGGTTTACTTTTCTTCCAACTATCGTGTATTTATATAAACCAATAATTAACATAACACGCATTGTATTATATTTTTAAATGTTTAACAAAAATGCATTGTCTACTGGCCAAGGAGAAAAAAAAATTGTTAATTTTCTATATGTTTCGCTTAAAATGTAACGGAAAAGCAAAATTACACTACCCGTAAGCTTCCCGTTTTGCACTGTAGCTATATCGACTTATTTTCGCATATAAATTATTAGGCAAAAGTGTGCCAAAATTAAGCTAAATTTGTCTCTGGGTCAAACACCAGAGCGCGGAAATTGGAAGGGAAATTAAGAAATAAAAAGAAACAAACGAAGCAACTGCGAGTGTGCGTGTGAGTGCTTATATGTAGGTTAGTGTTGGATGTGAGAGTTCGTGATCCCCCTCCCCCTCCTTATCCACCTGGCTTCGTCACTTGTTATCATTATCAACTATACTATACTTATGTAAACGTGCGTATGTTAAAGAAAAAAAAAACAATATCTCAAAACTTTTCTCCGCAATATTGACACTCAAGAAGCGAAACACGCGTATTCATGCTTCTTCTGACCCCGCAATAAAATCGTACTATTTTCAAACGTAATCTATGTTTCCAAATATTGTATCTAAGTCGATTTCTTCTTTCCTTTCGTCGCCGATAACCGGACCGACACACATTTATAGCAGAACGATTTTTCCCGTTCCCGGTTGATGATTGTTTTCTTATTTTTTTTTCTGTTTGTAAATCAAATTTATAAATATAGGTGTAACCTATAAAGTAGCGACGTAGTGTATCTTAATTAAGTAATAACTTAGCGATCGAGGAAACATTTTAAACACCACCCTAACAATTAGATCTACAAAACGAGGAATTTTCCGCTCTGATCAATTGAACAATATACCACTGGCAAACAACCAAGTATAACTATTACTAGTAATTACAGAACAATAGCATTTTTGGAATTGAAGTTTTACTGCATTTTATGGTATCAGCCACCATGCGTCGCTCTCCAATCTCCAAGCAAAGTTAATCAGCGAAGTATTCGAAATCATAATAAAGCATTAATTTAATAACTGAGCTGCCCCACTTGAAAGGAGAGCGCGATATACCTAATCCAACCAATATCTCTGCCGCCTACCGAAAAACTGGAGACTGGGAGTGCATAACTTTACAAAACTAGTTATTGGCTAAAACGTAACGTAAACGTAACTATCGAAAGGTAATATACCGCAACAGGCTAAAAAGTGAATAAATTCAATAAAAATAACCGGAATGTGGGTGTTACTTGATCCGAACGTGTCCTTTATCCCTACTAAATAAGCTAACTGTTTAGAAGAGTTTTGAAGAATCGCTCCAACTAAGAATCCGGAAACCCAGTAACGCCTGGTAGATTACCTTTTCGTGGTGCACTACTGGCATTAAGATCTACCACCGAACCCTTGTCCGAACTACTTCAAACCTGGGGAACAAGAGTGTTTTTGTAATCAAAGGAACACACCTTAGTAATTTTTACTTTGTATGCTTTGTTGATAGTGACAAGACTCGGCTTTGTGCACCGGTGTTATTGCTTGATTTTGTTGATTCTACGAGAAGCTAAATAGTTCGCGCAAAGGCTACGTGCCCCAAGCCGATATGTGCAAGGACTTGGACGGTAACCTTCTCACGAATGAGTGTGAGGAGATTGAGAGGTGGAAGCAGTATTTGGGCCTATTCTGCGCGGCGTGTGAGGTGAGGTGACAGTGAAGTGATGGTGAAGTGACAATTGTCACCTCTGGTGAGGTGACTCTCCATTTAATTTACATGGAGAGTCACATCACCCGAGGTGACAGTTGTCACTTCACTGTCACCTCACCTCACACGCCGCGCAGAGTAGGCCTAACTATGACGAGCACCTCAACGGTGATGCAGCAGAAAACGAAAGTGGCACGGCAACAGACCTTGGAGCACGCGCAGAAGACGACAGGCTACCGGCCCCTGATCTTCAAGAAGTTGAGGAGGAGATCGGACGACTGAAGAACAACAAAGCAACTGGTGTAGATCAACTACCAAGTGAGCTATTAAAATACGGCGGTGAAACACTGGCTAGAGCGCTGCACCCAAGATTTGGTAGGAGGAGACATGGAAGGTGTCGTCAATCTACAAAAAGGGAGACAAGCTGGATTGCTGCAACTACCGCGCGATCACACTGCTGAGCGCCGCCTACAAGGTACTCTCCCAAATTCTATGCCGCCGCCTGTCACCATTTTCAAGAGAGTTCGTGGGGCAACATCAGGCGGGATTCATGGGCGCCCGCGCTACCACGTTCCAAATTTTCGCGATTCGGCAGGTTCTGCAGAAATTCCGCATATAACGTGCCAACACATCATTTGTTCATCGATTTCAAATCCGCATACGACACAATCGATCGAGATCAGCTATGGCAGATTATGCACGAGTACGGATTTCCCGATAAACTGATGTAATTGGTCAAGTCAAGTGATGTGCGTTGTTCGAGTATCGGGGACACTCTCGAGTCCCTTTGAATCTCGAAGGGGGTTACGGCAGGGTGATGGACTTTCGTGTCTGCTATTCAACGTCGCGTTAGAAGGTGTGATCAGAAGAGCTGGAATAGACACGAGTGGCACGATCTTCAGAAAGTCCATCCAGGTTCTTGGCTCACCAATGACATTGACATCATGGCACGGAACTTTGAGATGATGGCGGAAACGTACATCAGACTGAAGGCTGCAGCTAGGCGGATTGGACTTGCCATCAACGCATCGAAGACGAAATACATGAGAGGAAGAGGTTCTAGAGAAGACATTGTTAGCCTCCCACCCCACTGGTGACTGCCGAAAATCATACCAGCAGAGAAATTCAAAGACGCTGATTAGCCCGGTTTTCCTCTACGGCCAGGAGACCTATGCTCGTGGAGGAGGTGTTTTCTGTGCCGATTATTCCGATCCGTAATTCTTTCTTCGGTATTTGCAACTTTGTTTTTTTTCAGGGCCGCTTGTTGGGCCTGCCGGGGGACCATCGTGCACAGCCTCTTCTCTACTTCTCACAGAATTCTTTCGAAATCCAGTCATCGACCGAAATTTGTTTGCCTACGAACCTCTTCCGACCGGTGGAAACTAACGATTTTAAATTGGCTCACACTGGACTAGCCTATCGATGAACGTACCCCATTCTAGTCGAAATTCTAGTACTACACTATGTTTGTTTTGATTTGCTATGAAAGTTTGGGACCCAAGAGAGTACCAGCAACCGGTGGAAACTAACGATTTTAAATTGGCTCACTACTTGAGCTGAGCCAAAAAGTTGAGCACGTTTCTTCGGGACCTGCTGGTCTTATAGTACGTTCAGACTACAGAGTTATAACATGTTATAGCACTATCTTGATGGTGGTCTCTGTGTTGCGATTATTTGACAACCGTTAAAACATGTTATAACCAACAATCAATACAAAACTAACGATTTTAAATTGGCTCACTACTTGACTAGCCTATTGGTCCCAAGCAAACGATTAACGTATCCCATTCTAGTCTAAATTCTAGTACTACGCCATGTTTGTTTTGATTCGCTATGAAAGTTTGACAGATGAAATGAGGGGTTATTCGTTTTTCCTATGTTTCGAGGGGTGAATCGATTAGCTTGGGACCGAAGAGAGTACCAGAGATGAGCCAAAAAGTTGAGCACGTTATTTCGGGACCTTCTAGTCTTAGAGTTACCTCTATGTTATAACTCTCCAGTATGAACAAGGCATTAGACTTACCTCTATGGTACCAGAGCTGAGCAAAAAAGTTGAGCACGTTTCTTTGGTACCTTCTGGGTTTACCCCTATGCTACAATCATGCCTATCAAAGGTATAAGCAACAATCAATACGAAACTAACGATTTTAGACTGGCTCACTACTTGAGTAGACTATTGGTCCCAAGTACTTCTATCATAGAGGTAACATTAAGACCAGAAGGTCCCGAAGATACGTGCTCAACTTCTTGGTTCAGCTCTGGTACTTATTTCGGTCCCAAGCTCAGTTGACACCTAGCTCTTACTGTGTACGGACGAGTAATACTACGGCAGAGGAAAAAGTTGTGTTTTTTTTTACTTTCTCCGGACACCCGTCCGATGAGTTTTGCTACTCTTTTCCGAAAGGAACCAGCACACAACACAAACATGGCCAACCGCCAACTATGCGTGATTGACTTAAGTGTCATGCCAGCAAAACCCAAACCGTCCCGAGGGGACGATTTCATCGCGAAAGATGTTCAGCTTGATTGGAGCAAAGTGCGAGGATTGCAGCTCAACAACATCACATCGTACGTATTCATCAAGATGGATACAATAGAATCTGCAGAACAATTCGCTGAAGAGCACAACCTCAAGCACACGATGGAGTACAAAGACATCACCTACCGTATTCCGTTCTTCATTGCCGATGGAGCAACGGATGTTAAGCTGCATGATTTGCCGTTTGATATGCCAAACCATATTATCGCGGAACAGATGACGCAGTTTGGTGAGGTTTTGTCGATAAAAGATGACCACTGGAGGAACCTTTTCAACAAGGTTCCTAATGGAGTGAGAATAGTTCGAATGCGCATTTCTAAACCCATTCCGTCGTATGTGACTATGTGACGTATGACTATGAAGTGCTCCGAATATGCAAAATCATTGCGTGAGGGAAAAAATACTGAATTCACCGGAGGCACCAATTGAAACTGGACATCCAACAACTGCAATAAGTATTTCGAGGGACATATCGCCAAGCGAACGTTTCGTTTCGATCAAGGACGAAATTCCAATGCCAGTCCTCACTCTAGCCAAAACCGCTTTCCACACCACCGAAACTGCTGCGGACACGTGCTCCGCTGCTGCTACTGTTGTTTTTGATAATTTCGTTGCTGCTGTTACTGCTCACTCCGCTACTGCTGTTGCTCTGCCTCCCCAACGGGACAGCGGTCATCTCAACTCGTCCAAGAAGTGGTTGATGTGAGTGAGAAAATTCTCAAGTCACCTAACCGGGACCAGCGAGAGATCTCCAATGAAAATCAACGCACCCGTAACCATCATTCGGAATCTGCATTCAAACGACCGGGATCACCCAAGACTACCGAAAGCAAGAGGCCTTCCAGGTCTAAAAATCATTAAAATGGATCTAAAAAGCTACAACATTTGTGCCATCAATATAAACAATATTACAAACCCCACGAAACTCGCTGCTTTGCGAACATTTATACGATCAGCTGACCTTGACGTAATATTCCTGCAGGAGGTGGAAAATATGCTGTTGGAGTTACCTGGATTTGACATGATTTTCAATGTGGATGAGCGACGAAGGGGAACTGGAATTGCAGTCAAGCAGCTGCTCCAATACCAAAATGTGCATCGTAGTCTAGATTCCCGTTTGATTTCGTCACCTTTGTTAATGTTTACGCTCTATCTGGTTCACAAAACAGAAGTAACCGCGAAAGCTTCTTTAATTCCATCGTGCCATTTTACTTGCAACGGGCATCTAATTATATAATATTTGGAGGTGACTTCAATTGCGTGGTGAACGAAAGGGATGCAATCGGCTCCGGTAACCAGAGTCCAACGTTGAAACGATTGATGACTTCAATGAAACTCACCGATATGTGGACAAATCTGAATGGAACTCGAGTAGAATATTCATAACTGCGACACGATTGGACAGGATTCTGGTAGGCGCAACCACATGCGGGGATGGCTAAGGAATGCTTACTTCTGCACTACTGCTTTCACCGATCACAAGGCTTACATCGTACGGATAGTTTTACCGGACCTTGGCACATCAGCTGGTAGAGGTGTGTGGAGTCTTTTTACGAAAATTTTGGACGAACCTGAAGCATTCCCCGAACTTGAACGAAAATGGATATACTGGGTCCGAAACAGAAGGCATTATTCAACATGGATGGATTGGTGGATCACTTTTTGTAAACAGAAACTGATTTCCTTTCTTAAATGGAAAACATCGCTGCTCTTCAACGATTTTCGTGGAACCATGGAAATTTATCAAACTCAGCTTTCGCACGTGGTTAATCGACTTCCTGGAAATCCGCACGAACGTTCGAACATCAATCGCATCAAGGGACAAATTCTTCAACTACAGCGAAATTTCTCAACAAAGCTCCGAAGGAACAATACATCTTATATAGGTGGTGAGCAGACAAGTCTGTTACATCTAAACGAGCGGTCAACACGCAAAGCACGAACAAGCATTAACTTGCTCGAACTTCGAGATGGCAACGTTACCATGGATATAAATG